TTTTCAAAAAGCTCTTGAATATATGTGTAACAATGGTTTTATTTCTTCAGGTTTTCTGGTCCTATATTGTTGGTATGCTGACTAATCTGGAGAGTTTGCCTTTAGAACGTATTTACTCCATGTTAAAGATGTTTGCAATTCAAGGACGCATGTCTACTATTGAGTGCAGTGAGGAAGAACTCAGACATTTTCTGGACAACAAAGTCAAAGAACAAAAACTGGTGTTTTCCGGCAGTGTCTACAGGCTACCAAAAGGAACCAGTTAACTTAGTATATTTTAAGACATGCTAAAAAGGTGCCAGTAAACTCAGTATTTTCTGGTGATGTATACATGCTACCAAAGGGTACCAGTTAAGGTATAGATGCAGGTTCGTGGGCACACGGGAGTGAATTTTCTTTTTTTTTTGCTTTTTATTTTTCAAACAGTCTTGGCTATAGACTGTTAAAATTTCACAGCATTATGAAACATGGTGAAAAAACGATTTAAAATATAGATAACAGGTGCAAACATTCTCTCTTTTGAATGCTTAGCAAGATTTAGCAAGGCTGTACATAAATAATAAAAAAAGAACATGGTGAAAAAACGATTTAAAATATAGATAACAGGTGCAAACATTCTCTCTTTTGAATGCTTAGCAAGATTTAGCAAGGCTGTACATAAATAATAAAAAAAAACATGGTGAAAAAACGATTTAAAATATAGATAACAGGTGCAAACATTCTCTCTTTTGAATGCTTAGCAAGGCTGTACATAAATAATCAAAAGAAACATGGTGAAAAAAAAGTAATGACGGGATCTCCATATTATGCACTGTATTTAACTTTTTACAAAACGATAATAGGTTTAAATTTGGAACTGTTACAGCCATTTTAATTATGAGCATCAGCAAACTTCTTACCGAGTGAATGGTTATGCAAATTAGCCATTATCTCCACTTGTGTTTTTCAGTTTACCATGGAAGTTCAAAGCTAAATAGCTCGCACAATTCTTGTTTATTTTGAGTGAAACTTTCACACAACGTTTATCAGTTGTTTATTAACAAATGGGCATCCAGGCGTATATTTAGTATGTTTTGTTTTCATATTACAAAGTTGTCAAGCAGGATGTGTGCCATATAGTCAATCCCGGTCAGTATTTCACACTTCGAATGTCATTGTCCGAGAATGCAAAGCTTTAAAAATAAGCCCAGACATCCTTTTGTTTGTAGAGACGTTGTCAAAATAGTGTGAAAATGTCAAGACAAACTGACAAAAACTGTGGGAGCTAATTAATTTTTAATCTCTCTGACCAACCAGAAAACACGAACGGAGATAATGGCCGTTTTATGAAAGTGACGTTAATCATCCACAAAAATGGCTATTGCATCACGACGACATGCCAAAATCCATGATACACCGACGCTTGCTGATGTTCAATCGTCAGATAAAAAAAAAAAATACATTTACAATACTAGGGAAACAGACGTAAAATCGTCCGCGGAGTCAAAACCTTGCGTGAAAACTGTCATGGCGTTGTGTTATCTTTTCCACTTAGGGAGGGGCACAATGGATTACGTAAAGCCGATGAGATATTCATACAGTTATATAAACATAGCGGTGGGTGGGTTGAGTCTAAATTTACCTTTCCTCAAACCTTTAAAAAAATACTTTGTATGACACAGTTTTTCACGATCTCCGGTGAAATGGACCGTGCGAAGTTAGACGGCCAGGTTGCAATGGGCCGTAATATTTTGCTACACAACGGCGAATCACAGTTTTTGTACTCAAACGCCGGTGAAAAAGTCGAAATGGAAGACAACTATTGTAAATCTAAACGGGTTTCATTCAACTACGAGCAGAAGAGACGCGTACCAGAGGTCGCCAAGCACGGCCGTACAACGTATTTGCAACATCGCTACAGATGCATGCTAGCTGACAAGGGGGTTTCCGATTAAGGTAACCAAGATGGCATCGCAGAGTGCGTGATTTTTCCGCGGTGTTTAAAAACAGCATCTCGTTGCCGATGTTTCTTTAATTTTCTGAGTATTTTCAATTTTAAATTAACCCAGCATTTAAATTTGTGTATTTTGCCACTGAAAAGTTAGTTATCGATGACAGCACAGCACAGCAATGAATGGTGTTTATCCACTACTACATCGCAATGCTATCAGCACAGTGATCGTTACAGCGAAACGACAAATGAATAATTAGTCAGTTTTATAATGCCTTCGGAGAAAGAAATGCGTGACAAACAAATATTAACAGTACTCCACTGGAAGCTGCCAGGATAGAAGTTGTCGACATTGTTGCGAGATAAGGGTGAAAAAGTTTACTCGTCATTTACAACTGTATGTTTTTGTATTCCGCTTGCATTCTGGAAGCGTCTAGATCTTGTCTTTTGTTTGTAGTTTGCAAGACGAGTTGATAGTTGATTACTTGAAGTAAGTTAAACATGGTCGCAGACAGGAAGTTACACATCGCCGCACCGTAACTAAGGCCAGCAACTCATTTGCATATAACATCAACAGTGACTTGTCAATCAAAGAGCAACGTAAACAAACTTTCGGGACTTTTAATCACATACGCGTGCCTTGATTCCCTACATTTAAAATCCATTTTTGGGCATGTTCCAGCATTGACAATGCTCCGAAATTTCAACACTATCTAGCCAAGACTGTCTAGGTAAGAAAAGCAAAAAAAAAAAAAAAAAAAAAAAAATTCACTCAGAGTGCCCACGAACATGCATCTATACCTTAATTCAGTGAATTCTGGTGATGTCTGCAGATCTTAAAAAGTACCATTCACCTCAGCAAATGATGGTGATGTTTACAGAATACCTAAGGGTACATGTTTATAACATACGGTAGTAACATATGGTTTTGTCAACCCGTTGAACACAAACTTTTGGTGCCATTTTGCCATAATTTATGTGGCAGAGAAGAAAGAAATAACTTCTAACCCTAGCTATTTCTGATTTGGTCGGAGGTGCTCTGCCAATAAACATAAAATGTACTCAAATAGTGTTTATGACATCACATGATAAATATTGCATTATTGCTGAGCAAATGACAGTGTGAAACACAGCCACTTATGTATGCATTTATGTACATTAACCATAGTTTTAAGAATGAGGAAAGTTGTTTTAGCCAATACACTGGTTTCTTTCCAATTCACCATGGTGTAAGTTAGAACTTAAACCTAGCAGCATGGTTAACTGGGGTCAGTTTTCTATCCACATGAAAATATAGTATAGCAAAACATTTATGATAATTTATGCATATTGTGTTGTATCACTCTCCCGCATATATTGTTCATGTACATTTGTATTGTTTACAAGAAATGTGACTGACAGAATGTTTTCATTCATATCTACCATACTTGGTAGGACCAAGTGACTGTAAGGATAATCTATATGGTTAATAACATTAAAAATAACTTTATTCTTATCTTGTCTGTTTTTTGTTTTCAATTCCACTTTTTAACTATCCCGTCAAGGCCATACAGATAATGTCCTCTTCAATGTGGAACAGTTGTTTAATAAGGGTCACCCGTGATGTATACAACTTGTGGAACATACATTGTTTATACAAAATTTAAAAGTGTGTTTATAGGTAGAATTATAATCTGTATCGGTACTATTGTTTTACAAAACAGTTGATAGAATTATGTATCAACATATGGTTAGCTCAATGTATAATAAACTGGTGCACAAATATATAATGAATTGAAAAGCAGTAGAGTTGAAATTCACCACTAATTGAGCAAGAAACATTTACTTCAACTATTTTAGTTTAGTGTCCAGATAGTATAATACTGTGCAGACGAATAACATCTTCTCTTTTTTCATGAGATTTTCATGGCAATTAAAACTGTACAGGTATTGATTGACAAATAAAATGATATTCTGAATTTTTTAATTGCTCTAATACTTATCCAGTGAATCTAGTTTCCAAAACTCGAATTCAACCACATCATAATAAGACCCAGGCATGGACAATTGCACAACTACACTGCTATTAGCGGAGTTTACCGTTGTTGGATGAGCTAATTTCAGTGCTGTAACATGTGTCTATTTTCTCTTAATAGAACACGTTTTGCAATTTCAACTTTACATTGCCCACGAGTTCATAAATATGACAATGTATGCCTAATCTTGCTTCAGTGTTTGCAACTAGCAAAAAATCAGGGATGAAAATATGCGATTCTTGCTAAATGCTAATCCACAAGTGTCAGATGGGACTTAAAATTCTCATTATAAAACACTTAACTTGATATTTTTCTTAGTGAATTATTCAATCTAACCAACAGCAAATGAAAAGTGAGAATTCTACTCTGGTTGTCATTTTGAATAGAATGCATCACATTGTGTTCATAAAGCAACAAATATTTTGTATTTTTCAAGATTTTCAACTAATCTGTCACAGAGAATATTGAGCTAACAAGTAATTCTTGCGTGGATGGCCGATTCTTCCGACGAGTTTATCCGTCACGAAATCGATTCGCCCCACAAGTTTATGCATCAAACTTGATTGTCTTGTTACCAATATATAAAAGAAATCACCCTGCATCGTAAGGCAAACTAAAGGCCTGGGGTTGCTTCGTATCTCAATTTTAATTCGTCGTACTTCCGGGAAATAATAAACAGTCAGTACCACACAGGTACCACAGTAGCATCTCAACTAGAGAAGCCACAGCTGCAACTATCAAGTTGGTGTTTATTTTTAAGGTAAAATATGAAAATGTTATATAAAGTTGCTCGAATTGGTTCCCTGGAAAACATGGTGAATGTATTGTGCTGTACCAGATTGGAAAACCCTGGAAGTGAAGACCACGAATTCAATGGAAATAAAGCTATTTATTTCATTAAAATGTAAATCAAATAAAACATTGATAGCGTCATATCGTTTTCTTTACGGTTAATTGAATAGCAGAATAATATAGTTATAAACATGTGACCCTGAAAGTCAATGTAGGTCTTATCGGAACTCCGCACCAAAGGACGCCACCACTATGCCGATCAACTGTCACGTAATTAGTGTGCGCATGCGCATTATATTTGCGACATATTTTAACTTTACACTGTAGGCATTGAGTGTACAAACTAAGAAGGGTGATGAAGATGCGAGTTTAGGAGTCGTGATATCGCCACCCCCGTTATGACTGCGTTGGTGTCTAGAAGGTGACATAATCTAGTTCAGAAATGGCGTTTATAAATCGTTTCCTTGTGTTATTGTCTGTATTTTATTCCGGTGAGTCTGTTCAAGTTGTTATGCCTAGTGTTTGTTTTCATATAAAAGTTGCCCCTTACGATAGAGTCGGTAGGGACTGAGTTTTTAAACAAGGATTACTTGAGATTTCAGAAATACGTACTTGGATATGTGATTCGACCTCTGGAGGTTTAAATATTCTATTATAATCACGGCCTATGTATGATTGCCTAATAAACCGACAGGGGATAGACGACTTATATAGATATGCCTGTTGAAATTTGTAATGTGTTAAAGCACAGGGAGCCCATATAGGTGTTCGGGCAAACCGTTAAGTATTCGTAAATGGAAATGGAGTCAATTTGTGTAGTTTTCTTGATTTATTCTGGAGATATAGGTAAAATATAGGTAAGGCTTTGGCGAAATTTGAAAGAGCAACTAATAATCTTCAACCTGGTATTTTTTATAGATTTTATTTTTCATTCTGTTCATCTGTTTATTCCAGTTTAAATAATATGAGCTGGCTGGTGCCTTCATCCCTTGTCTATTTCTTACACTAGATATCAGCCGATACCCCCCCCCCCCCCGCGCTAATAGGGAGTGCGTACAGTTGATGATAGTTCCTGGGCTCCCTGTGGTTAAAGCGCATGCACGGGAATTGAATCCCAAGCGACGATAACAACGCATGCTAAAAATGCAAAAGTAACGGCCGCTTTAAGGATTAGCCGTGTGTCCATGCCAATGTCAGAATGGATGTGCAGCAAATATACGAGCAATGTTTTGAACCAAACACAAACTAAAAGCTACATGAACTTCAATTTATCCATGACAATCTCAATTACACTTTGAATTTGGTGCAATCTGATTAAAATATTGCTTAAGAGGAATCAAGGTTATGATATTGCTGGTGTACGCATGCACATTCTGCACCTCAATTTGCTATAGCAGGCCGTAAAAGGCCGCAATGCAAATGAGTGGCCGAGTCATTTTGTTTTAAAACTAAAATCTGTTTTTGCTAGTGTCCTTTTATATTAAGTATTATATATATATTACCGGTAAGTTGTGTTTCATTCCAATAGATGTTGTTTACTGTAAAATTATTAAATATTTTTATATACCCCGGTATAGATTCTAAATAATTATCAGCACCAGTGATGTCAAAATTATAATTATGGCACTCATGGGTTTAAATTTTCTACATAGATTTCATATCTTGATTTTGGTGTCAATGCTACTATACAAGGTTATACATGATTGGCTACTGAACTCTAATATCCAACAGTCTGACCAATCACAAAGCAGCTTGTTGGTTGCCAGGTTATTTTCGACATCAAATTCTGCCTTGTATGTGTTTTGGTATATTATTTTGTGTTGGATAGTGTTATTTTCTGATCATTTGCAGAGTATTTAATCAATTTGGATAAAACCAAAAGTGTATAAGCATTTAAATTGCAACTTAAAATATCTTCTCACCTGCAGACACGTGTGATTACCGCCAATGTGATTTACAGCCGAGTTGTGTACTCTAGCAGTAACCACTGTTTTCTATTTCATGCAAACATTACCTTTTATACATGTACAATTCTGATCATTTATGACATTTGATCCAATTCACTAAAATCTTTTTTTATTTCAACTGTTTTGAGCAACTGAATAACGATTGTAAAAATAAACATGCTGTGAGCAGACTCTCAGCATCCAGGTTTACTCTACCCACACAAATTCTTATCATATGATAATGAGGTGTAACATAAACCATTTTCACCATAATCATAGACCTGGACAACATTCTGGCAGTAGTACCGTTAAACCTCTATTAGAAGCAGCATCCCTAATAGAAGTCTCACCCATTCTTTTTGAACAATTGAGAACCAAAAATTCACCATTTCTCATATGTGTAGGTGCTCTTATATAAACTGCATCCCTTCTGTTGCATTGTACCATTTTAATAGAAGTTGTGGCTTCTAATACAGATTTTACAGTACATACAATGTACAATGAAAACTAGTTCTACAGTGTGTATTGTCTGACGATATGATATGCTTATTAATAATTTGATTTATCTAGTATTATGTTATGCTGTGGAAATACACATGATAATATGAGGTTATTACGAGGATACCGCAAAGTATACATGAAGACAGTACAGCTGCTCACTGGTCGATGCGGTGGCGTACTGTCGGAGTGCATACTTTGCGGTATCCTCATGATAACCTTATTATACATCTTTTCCTACCAATGATACATCATGGCAATGCCGAAATCCAAAATGTTTAGAACAGATTCAGCAAACTTCTTTGTGTGGAGTCCGGCTAAACCCTGGTGGCAGCCATGTTTGTGTTTATTATTAGAGGACGCTTACGCGTGTAATCATTCCATATTTGGAATTTGCATTTCCTAATATGGTAGAATGAAAATACCCTGTAAAATACTTCAAAATTATGACACGCTGCAACTTATGGCGTTACAGTGACAGATGTACATGTATAGTAATAAATGGTACTATTTCACTTTTAGCAAAAACTAGTCTTTATGAAGAAATGAAGAACGAGGCCGATCTGATCTATTTTAGATTCAGGATTCTTGATAACACTAATAATGTTATTATTTTTTAAAATTCTAGTTGACTGTTTACGTTGTTATACATGTAGCGGTGAGAGCAGTAACAGTGATTGCAGTGCTGTGGAACATCTAGTGGAATGTGATAGAACACAGGATGCATGTCTCACAAGTGTAATCTGGTCAAGTAAGTTATGCTTAACAGTGATCGCAATGGTGTTGTTTATCACCTCATTAATATGCATGAATTTATTTGATTCACTTCACCACATTAACATACATGAAATTGCTATATTAAGGTTGTTGCATGAGGATTCATATCACCTCATGAATATGCATGAGGATTCATATAACCTCATGAATATGCATGAGGTTGTTGCATGAGGATTCATATCACCTCATGAATATGCATGAGGTTGTTGCATGAGGATTCATATCACCTCATGAATATGCATGAGGTTGTTGCATGAGGATTCATATCACCTCATGAATATGCATGAGGTTGTTGCATGAGGATTTATATCACCTCATGAATATGTATGAGGTTGTTGCATAAGGATTCATATCACCTCATGATTCAGACAAACAAATCAATAATCAAAAACTAAAATAGTAAAACTGTGAAAGACGTATTTATAACTGTTGTGGCGTTGAATTATTTAGCTATGTCTTTGTTCAGGTAGAAAATGCCCTGAAATTCATTGAAAAGTAGCAACAAAGTAACACATATACGATTAAAAGATCTTTGTACATGTATGTTGTCTAAATTTGAAACCACACATTTATATGCTGCATTGTATTATTATCATACTGTCTACATCCTTTGAATATTTCTTGGTGAAACAATAGACCATAATGTGAGTTTCAGTGATGTTGTACAATTATTGAGGTTTATTTTGAAAAAGGTGACAAAAGTTGGCTTTAGCATACAAAGCTTTCTTTGAATAACTATATTTTTATGTTGACAACCATGCTGTGTTAAGTGTGTATTTTTTATTTTTTTTTTTAAATATTGAGTGCTTTACAATACTGGACCCAGGAAAGAACATGAACGTGCAGCTATTGTAGTTGAGATTGTAATCATACTTTGTATTTTCTGTTTTGTCAGGTGTGGATGGAAAAACCATTACAAAATTTTGTTACTGGCAAGTCGAGTGTCCAACTGCATTGCAGTCACCTTGGCCGTGTGATACCCGAGAGAATGCATGGGCGTGTGGTTCGTGCTGCACTGATAATGATTGTAACTATAGCGACACATCTGCAGCTTTCAAAAACTTTGGTCACAGCTTTAGTATTTTTGTGTTGAGTGTACTTTGTTTATTTTGTGTTCTGTGAGTGCTTCAACAGTAGGGTAGTGCCCAAATAACGACCCTCTCTACAAATCATGATTCAGGAAGTTGTTTGCTTCCAACAAACGAATTAAAAAATAAAACTGGAATAGCACTGGACACATTTATAACATAGGGTGCTGGAATAATTTTACAAGGTTTTGTTCAAGCTTTCTTATCACAGAAAAGTCACAGCGAAGTGAAGCAAACTTTGATTGACTGCACATATTTTATGCGCTAAACAACTTTGTATTATAGTTTTTTGCTAAGATTTTGTAATCACAACAAAAATGTTATTTAAAGAAATTACTGCAATACAATTCAATGGTTAGAGTTTTGTGACAAAATGAAGACATAATTCCATGCTGGTGGTCTAATTGATTTAGGAGCAATCATTAAATAGTTTTTCTTTGAATGTTTTGCAACCCAACCCAACTCTGCCATGATATAAACTGGTCTTCTGCGTGACGACCTCTATTTATTAGATAGCCGTCCAGTCGATATACTTGAAGTTGTCCATTTACACCAATGCAATAAAGTATACTGTATATCGGCAAGTTTTTATGGCATATACAGTATGTTTTACTCAATATTTTATGATCAGCTAGAGTCCAAAAAAAAATCTAATTCATCTGTGGAGATTCATACAGATATTGGTGGAGGTCAAGAATTTTTTTGCCATTTAAATTTTTGCGTTTCACATGGTTCAGTTCATCCAACGAATGAGCACAGATGTATGCCAACATCCAATGAATGAGCACAGATGTACGCCAACATTCAATGAATGAGCACAGATGTACACCAACATCCAATGAATGAGCACAGATGTATGCCAACATCCAATGAATGAGCACAGATGTACACCAACATCCAATGAATGAGCAGATATATGCCAACATCCAATGAATAAGCAAAGATGTACACCAACATCCAATGAATGAGCACAGATGTACACCAACATCCAATGAATGAGCAGATATATGCCAACATCCAATGAATGAGCACAGATATGTCAACATCCAATTAGACGTTAAAATTCCAATGAATGAGCACAGATGTACACCAACATCCAATGAATGAGCACAGATATATGCCAACATCCAATGAATGAGCACAGATGTACACCAACATCCAATGAATGAGCACAGATATATGCCAACATCAAATGAATGAGCACAGATGTATGCCAACATCCAATGAATGAGCACAGATGTACGCCAACATCCAATGAATGAGCACAAATGTACGCCAACATCCAATGAATGAGCACAGATGTACGCCAACATCCAACGAATGAGCACAGATGTATGCCAATATCCAATGAATGAGCAGATGTATACCAACATCCAATGAATGAGCACAGATATATGCCAACATCCAATGAATGAGCACAGATGTATACCAACATCCAATGAATGAGCACAGATGTACACCAACATCCAATGAATGAGCACAGATGTACACCAACATCCAATGAATG